ACCCGCCATTTACTTGGACAACGACAAGAGGCGAAGGAAGGAAGTCAGGATACAGCCGACAGTTATTTCATTTGCCGTTAAACCCGCGGCTGCCTCAAATCACCGGTGACGGAATTTACACCACGACCGTCCCGCATATAAACTTCCGGACTGCGAAATCGAAATTCACACTCTGCGTATTATCTTATCAGCGTCCTTCGTTCTTTTAGGAAAAATTCTCGCTTTTATCCGGCCTCAGTTTTTCCGAAACGATAAGACGATAAGAACGGCTCGACTTTCTCCGTCTTGATAAAGTCTCGAACTTTTTTAGGGATAAAAAAAGAACTTCACGTTCTTGAAAGCTTTCGAAGAATGCGAGAATGAGCAATGAGACGATTACTTTCAAGGTCGGCGTAGCCTGAAATTCGCACTATTCGCTACGAAATCTGGCTATCTTTACCCGGCGCGCTTGGAACCGGCGTACCGACAAAGGCCGACGAATATAGCCAGTTCTGACACGGCGGGATGTTAATTCGAAACACGCGCGGTCGCGATGATGGCGTCTCCCGATATACCGAGCCAAGTTTCTGTGTCCGTCGTCGCGTAGGCCCTTCGCGGTCGCGTTGCTCCAGCGTCGGTTAAAAATATCGTTTTATGTATAAAAGTGACGGAATACAGCGCAACGCGTTTGCGTCGCGTGACACTCGAACGGTGGATTTCGTAAATGACTTTTCTGGCGCAAATTTTACGACGCGCTAATTGCAACAACGTAAAATTAGCACACGCGGTCAACGAACGACGCGTGCGATGAACGATCCATCGATCAAATTCCACCGCGTTTCGGTTGGCCGGTTAATCTCCACGGCACGCCGCGATTAGGACGCGTGCCGTGTTTATTTTCACAGGGAGTCGGAAATAGCCGACGGCGAGCGCGCGGTGCGCTACGCCCGATATTATAATAGCGATGACTGGCGCGGCGGACGCGACAGTCCACGCGCAAGTAACGCTCTGTTGCGCGAGAACGGGAGCCAGATAACGTTATTTCGTCTTGACCGCGCGACGGAAGCCGCAATCTCGCGTTTTCCTGCGACGGTATCGCACGTATTCGAAAAAATTGCGAAAAAAAAACGACGCTGGCTTGCCGATGTGAAAGTTTAATCAAATTCGTAAAAATCGCGAGTAATTATGCGCATTATTAATTTTATGGCGTAATAATAATTGAATTAAAATTTCTAATTGCGAACGTGATTATTATTTGCATCTTGAATCAAAGTGCTAATCAAGTGTCGTGGAAAGTTTATCAGGATGACAAACATTCAATAAAAAACATGAGCGTGACAATTGACGTGCGATGTGCGATGCATATAAACGTTCGTGTCGCGCTGTCACAACACGTGCTTTCGCGAGTTCATTCGCAATGAAAGCGCGACACTCGGCACATCGCGACATCGACGCTGTTTAGTTGTCCTACAATGTACGCGCGTCACATAAAGCGCAGCGTGGTTATATACGGTGCCGCGTCCTCGCGGTAAGAGGCAAAAATCATCGTCGCGCGATGAATAAGCGAAGACGCGGCGGTTGGCGTGCATTATGTAAAACGTATAAATCTGTCCGTCACGTGTAATAAATCATCGGTCAAACGTTACGCGAAGCAACACCTGCTCGCTATTGAAATTATTCGGGCTGGAGCGCACGGCGAGCACTCGTCGGCACGGATATAATCGGATCCAGTGGTGCGGAAGTGCAAACATCGCACAAGTACATCGGTGTTATTCTGTACACGAATGCTGAGATGGCGTCGGAAAGATCCACGCAATGGAAGTGATAATTACCGGCATGGCCAATCGAACTCAGAAAATGGTAATTAACGGTTTGATATTACGACACACTTGGTCGAACACGTTTGTACGTACGTTCTCATGCTACGTCGCATAATTTATGACAAGCGTAAACTCTTGGGACACGCGGGTTTGTCATTATCGCAACTTCCGCAAATTGTGGTTGTTTAAAACTACTTAAGTAAAAAACGAGCAATCTATTAGAAATAGCAATGACAGCAATGACTATAATTTTAGTTTTATTTATTCTCTTTCTGGTTGTAATTCTGATAAAAAAAAGTAATTATAAATATCAGAAATTAGTATGAAATAATGCAAGAGAGTATAATTTTACATTTCAATTCATAAAAGAAGAAACGATCCGCTTTTACAAGCGCAAAAATAAATTAAAGTTCGTCAGAAAAGTAATTAATAAAGAATAATTAATGAGATCATGGCCGATAATGTTTCAATTCATTTGAATCACGGCGCGCATAAACGATAAACACGGCTACCGCATAAAATGCAACGACGCGAAACACGCGGACCAATTAATTGCCGGTAACGAGCCATCAAACGAATCCGGTAAACGTGGCTGTGACGATGCGTCGCGCAGTGCGCGAAAGCGCGGACCTTCTCGCACGATTAATTAGCGCGGCTGCATAATCGCGTTGCTAATCACCGGCTAATTCTCGCGCGAACATAATTGCTGCGACGCAACGTTGACGAGCGCTACACCCGCATCGTCGAGCGCGTCACTGATGTGCGCTCGACTCGACGAGCTGCTGCTGCTGCGATGCGGAGGAACAGCGGGAGGGAAAGAGGGAGCTTAACAGAATAGCATAATTCCGGCGCGATTAATTCGCGATTCCGCAATATGCATCGAGCATCGCATTGCGCGCGTCAAATCTACGCACGGCGGATTGTCCCGATACGCGCGGACGGTACAACGCTGCAGGTGGATCGGAATGTATCCCTGGACGCATTCCGATATGCGCGCGCGTGCGAGAGAGAGAGAGGAGGGGGGAGGGGGGATGCCACTATACGGATCCTTTCGCCTTCCCTACTATTACCGGATCCGTTTGTACTACAAAGCACGCGATCGGAATGGCACGTACGCGGATAAACGCATAATTGCGATGATGATCGGTCCGCGCCCTCTGAAAGGCCTTTAACCCTACGGTACATCCGGCGAGGAGCATCCTGGCAAAGGATCTAACATGCAACCGATATGTTGTCGAGTATCACGATCACTCCTCGTGTCAGTGGCTTCAGGGAAAATTGATTATTGCCTCTACTTGCCAACCACGTTTCGCGATTGCATTGCCATACCGGATCCTACGGCGGGGATATAAATCCTTTGATTGGTAAATTGATCTTTTTTTTCGAACGTGCAATTTTTATTTTTATTTTTTGTGAACAGTAGATATTACACGCGGATGTGTCGTAAGATGTAAAGTATTTGTAGTATTAATAACAAACGTAACGGCAATGTTTTAGGGAACAGAGATTGGATACATTTAATTTAATTAAATTTCAAGGTATTATGTCAAATTGTATCGCTCGATCGTATCATAATTGTGCACATACAAATGTATCTTAATATACTAATACCTCCGGGGACATGCAGTGCCGTTGCACTACGAGAACGTGTCTTCAGTGCATTATCCTAGAGCTTATTTGGCTTTCGATCCGATTAAAATGGTTTTGCATGCTCTAGTGGATTGCGCATAATTGCATTGCGCGTACGTGAAGGATCTTTGGCGTCTGCCTCCTGCAGCAAATCCGTGTTATTTCATTAGGCGTACAAGCTCCCCTCGGGAAACATGTTGATCGTACACAAATTTTCCGCTACCACCGCTGCAAATTTGATTACTTCGCCATTGTGCTCGCGTTCGTACTTCAATACAGGTCTTATAATAAGAAATAATTGTATTTTGCGTTAAACTTTTACTTATTAAACGCGATTAAGTCCAATCTCGTTTAACTTGCACGAAGAAACTCACACGGAGGATTTTTCTGGATGTTTATATTTTTAACAGCGATAATCTATTTTTCACTTTTTTCTTTCCGTTTACTTTGGCTTGCTTTTGCCATGCGATGACATGCAATTTAAAGGCACGGAAATTGCCTATACTGATGCGATTGACCTTCTTTAATTATCCCGCCGTTACGGAATATTAATACTATGTCTCGCGCAAACGTTGCCCAAAGTTAATTGGACGACGAGGTCTTTCAGAACTCTCGATCGGTAATGAGTTTCTTTGCCAGCTTAAAGCCACGCCTCTAAAAATTTTCCACGTGCGTCAACTTGCAACGAGATAAAGTTCATGCGGAATTAACCAATGAATAAACATTTTTATATCTAGGGACTATTATTCTTTAATTGGTATCTTCTAATTAATATTCTATCGTATAATAAGATGATATGATAAAAGACAATCGTTCGATATCACATCGATCCACTGAAATACTCGGGATATATCAATTATTCATTCTCTCAGTTTGCCGCGCAGAACCTTTCTTTTTCCAATTGTCTATGAAAGGTTTTGCTCGACCATTTGAGCAGAGATCACGTGGAAAAGTCATTTTGATTTTCCTCGAAGAATATTACTCTACAAAACCCGCTATATACCACACGCGACGCGAACAAAGTGCATTGCTCGGTGGAATATGGAAATAGTGTTTCGATATATGGCGCGTCAGATGGTGTCGAGAGCTTAAACGACGCTCTTTGTCCCCGCATAACCGCCATCGATCCCGGACACTGCACGACCTAATCTACTCCCACGTGAGAAGCTCAAAATCAATTAACCGCTTAACCTCTCCTCGCGTACGGAGGGCTTAAGTTCACCGCGCAATTAGGATTGTGGATTTTGCGCCACTTAGTGTGACAGTCCAGAGTTGACCCCGTGCTCTCGCCAGAGGTGTCTTTTCTTTCTCCAAGAATTCTCTAAGACTTTTGTGTTTTTACTAAGAAAAGTTAAAGAGTAAAAAAAATTTGTTTTATTCTCAAATTAATTAAAAATATTACCTTTCGACTTTTCTTTGCATTACGTTATTTCTGTGATGTTCAATGATTCTTTTTTAATTATACTTTTAACTACTCAATTAATAGAACAATTCCACCTGTAACTTGGTTAAATCTCATGAGGAATCACGAAGGATGAAAATGATGAGAGATGCGCTTGCTTGTGCTTTCAGGTGAACGGCGACGATGACTGGGAGTACGAGGAGATCGTTTTGGAGCGGGGCGGGGCGGGTCTAGGTTTCAGCATCGCCGGCGGCACGGACAATCCGCATTATGGCAACGACACCGCCATTTACATCACCAAGCTTATACCGGGCGGCGCCGCTTCTGCGGACGGCCGCCTGCGTGTCAATGACACGATACTGCAGGTGAACGACGTGTCCGTCGTCGACGTACCGCATGCGGCCGCCGTGGACGCGCTCAAGCGGGCCGGCAACACCGTCAAGCTGGTAAGTTTCGCCCTCCACCTCTCAGGTCTGGTACATTGATGCGAGCGCATGTTACTTGTCTCCGTTGTGGCGGACCGCTTGTTTCATTGACAAGCGCTTACAAGCGGTTTGATCGGCGATCTTGGGTTTAATTAATACAGTATATATTCCTGTCGATGAAGAATCTTCTCCTAAAAACTCATCAGTCGTTTGAATTCAACGATTGCGAGATACGAGCACTCGCGCATCAATCGAAAATGAAGCCCACTCCCTCAATCGATTATTTTTAATTGATGATATTTAATTTCGAATTGCAATATGTGTGGATTGCAACGTTCAAAGGGAGAAAACGCAATTAACTAAAGATTAATGTTAACTGACGCATTAAACGTATCGTACACGGTGCCGTATGTGAACCGACGTATGCAAATCTGAAATCCGAATTTAATTGAATGCGTTACAGCACACTGTTACTACGATCACATGCCATATCATATGCGCATCTCAAGTGCGCAGATTTAATTGCGCGACGAATGTGTCGGGAATAATTGAATTGCAAACGTTGTAATGCGTGCGCTTCCTATCGCCGAACTCTCGCGCTGAGTATCCATATTCATTTTCTCAGCTATCCGCCGATACTCGTTAATCGAGTGTTCAATTAACCGTACATTAGTCAATCATTTTCGGTATGTATTATCGCTGCTTACTTGATAACGCGAATCCCGCTGCTTTATCACGCATGAAAAATATCTGCAACGCGCATCATCGTCAGTCTGCATTTGCCTCCAAGTCTGAATTGATGTTACATTAATCATTTCGCACGCCGTTATCTCGCTCGGTTTTGCGCGATTTTATTCTGTGCTCCGCTTTCTCGTCGAACTATCTGCGATTTTTTTTTTTTTTTCGAATGTCGCCAGTTTCACGGCGACATTGCGAGTCTCGAGAAGTTTCGCGGGATTGACGGTCTTCCCTGGATTCCATATTTGTCATAAAGATGCGTCGAATATCTTCGGCTTACGCCTGAGAAAAGTCCCGAAGCGACGATCACTCACCCGGGCCTTTCGAGGTTCCCGTAGCTTGGCAAAGTCGCCGAGGGATGAGGGAAAGTTTCGATGGGATCGTTCGTTACGCGCCTCTTGGATATACGTTAATGTCACCCTACGAAAAAAAAATTCTCCCCAGGTGAATTGCCGGTGTAGCTCACTTTCCGAGAGGAGAGGATCGATGGCGCTGCAACATGAAAATCGAAGATGTCGAGCGTGTTTTCATTATGAAAACTTTAACCGGGGGCTTTTTTCTACCACGATACTGTATTCGGATTTTTGCGCTGAAATAACACCAACGCTCGTAAAATATTCCGGAAATAACTTTTTCAACGACTGTCGAGATTTTCGAGGCACTTGAGGTTCTACACGAGTCAGCATCCATGCGTTATCAACCCTTCCAGTATGGAAATGACGATGAGGGAAGCATAAAAGCGTTTATGGCCGGACCACCCCGCATATTATTATTCCGACGTGAAATTCGCTTCGCGACCACCTCTTGTTGCGCGCAAACCCTGTCCTTAAGGCGGCTGTCAAAGACAAATTCAATTTGCAATATGATTTTTTAGATAATTCAGAATCAATTTAATTCTAAATTGAATAAATTATCGCGTCAAACTCTAAAACGCGAGTTTTTGAATATTTGACACGGGCTGTTATATTTTGCGTTACATTTACTTACTTTAATTAATTAATGCAATGCAGAAACTATATAGTCATGTAACTATACGCTTGATTTATTACACATTAAATACGTCTGCCGAACTCATTTTTTATGTATATTGTCATTTATTATGTAGAGTGTAAAATGTGATTTTAAATAATGAAGGGAAAAATACTATTCATATATTTCAACGCGATAAATATTGCAGACGTTTGTGCAAAATGTATCAATCGGCAAGCGAAACATCCAGTAATGCGTTTCCCATGTAGAGTTTAATTAACGTACCGAACCGCCTTAACGGCGATATAAACGGGCCTTTAAGGAGAATTGCGTCGAACGGGAACAAATCCACTTTATAAATCTCACGGAGTAAACGAGAGTCGTTCGAGAGGGGATATATTTCTCCGATCAACTATCGGGCGGGCATTTAATTACGTGGATTCATTGTTACACCGGAATGAAAGAGCGCGCGGGGTTTCTCTTTTAAGCGCTTCTCTCTCAAAGCGCGGCCGATATCGCGCTCGAATTTAAACGTCGGAGTCCCGGAAATACACTCGCTAATCGCAATGTCTTTGGAGCTTGCGCTCAATTAACATCATGTCTGCGCATCGATTTTCAGTATGTACGCCGACGGAGGCACACGCAGCTGATGGAGATCGAGCTGATCAAAGGTAACAAGGGTCTCGGCTTCAGCATTGCCGGCGGTATTGGCAATCAACATATACCGGGCGACAATGGTATCTACGTGACCAAAATCATGGACGGCGGGGCCGCGCAGGTGGACGGTCGCCTCGTCGTCGGTGACAAATTGGTGGCCGTCAGGAACGCTGTGGTGAGTAAATATATCGAACCATTTGCCTTTTTGCACAATGTTTTTTTTCCGTCGTAATATTACATTGAAAACACGATATGTTTCGTGTATAGATTCAATACGAGCTGCAAGCTCGTTCGCGATTTTTCGCAGTTGACGAGCAGCACGTGTTTGCAGAAAAATAAAGTCGCGACTATTTTTCATGCTAAGAGAACGACGCGGAAGCGCCTCTTTCGTGACATCTTCTCTCTTTCTGTACACGTAGCCGAAGAGATAAATGTAGATGAGGGAGATAGATTGCCCTGCTTTCCGAAGCTCATGAGTAAATTTAAGTAATTGATCGGGTCCGTTTTCTCGCGATAAGGATCACGCGGCTCCGGAAATGAGGACGATTACTTTATAATGACGCACGTGGCGCGCTTTACACATATTTCATTTTCCAAGTATCCGGAGGATGAAAATCAATATTACGTCGAGCAACGTAATAGACGTATATCATTATGTTATATGAATAAAGCGTAGAAAAGTTTCGGAGCACTGTCATAAACAGCTGAAATTTCCATGCCGAAAGTTTAATCGAATCCCCGATCCACTCTCGATCCTTCTTTAATTTTTCAAATTTTATAATAACGTGGAATTCCGTAATGTGTTCGGTGATGTCGCTAAAAATATCGGGAACGATAAGAAAAAGTACTTGACATAATTTGGATTGCGGATTGAAACTTTAAATAATTTATTTGAGTGAACGCAGTTTTATATCTCCGACAAAATCTACTGAAATCTCATCGCAGACCTTCCATCGACTTCGAATAAACATAAAAATCGTTCTTCGGAAATGCGGGAAATAAATTGTCTATCGGAGAATACATGTATATAAATCGCCGTGAAAAAAACGAGCCGTGCCATCCCTCGCTCGGGCTGTGAAAACCGTTTCGAGTTTTATAATTACTCCCGAAAACTTTCGGCTCACGCGCGCGCCCGAAACTAATTACCGTACGATCGATAATTACTTCGCCACGCGGGAGAATAAAACGTAGACGGCGAGAAAGTTTCGGAACGCTGTCGTAAACAGCTGATTATGAACAAATTTCCATGTCGAAAATTTAATTGAGTCCAGTTTACATTAGAAATTTTAAGATTTTATGTAACTCGGTGAGACGAACTCGTGACACGTTTTCGGGATCGCCAAAAACACTCCCGTTATTTTTGGCTATCCCAGAGAACGTGCCCCGAATTTCTTTCATCACATTATAAGGTTTCAAAATTCATAATGGAGGGATTTGGAGAGAGAGTGTGCGGATAAGAACTCGATTAAACTTTCGCTATAGAAATTTCTACAGTTTTTTTTACAACTGAAACATAATCTTAAATCTCGCTTCTTTAATATTTTTATAAACTAGAAATTACTAGAACTAAAGATTACAATTATTTTAACGCCTTGAGATTTTAACGCTTGATTCTTCCATTTGAGTGTAATAAATTTGGAGGTGAGATTTCGCGGAGAAGTCGAGTCGCTCTCGAGTAACTTCATCATCGACAACCACTAACTGCCACCCTCGAGAGGCGGCATGAAAAAGCCCGTGGCTTTCAAACGCACTTTCACCGCGTGGAGAAAAAGAGAGAGAGAGAGAAAGCGTCTTTCGATCGTGCACGCGCGATTCTGTATTTCACCCTCCGGCGACAGTCATAAATCAAGCCGACCGACTCGTTCGCTTTAATCGGCGCTTTTTTTGGCGCGGCTCCCAGAAGGAAGGGTGCCTTAAAGCCGGTGAAATCGCCGAAGCGAAAAATCGTAGACTGGCGAAGCCTGCCGTCGACCGAAGCTGTATATCGCTGACGGAAGAGCTATCAATTACTCCGGCAGCGCTTTGGAAAACCGTCTAATCTACTTTTCCTATCTGCACTTAACCGCGAGTTAAGAACGGATTTCTTTCCGAATAACGAGCATGTTTGATCTCATTGGTTTAAAAATGTGAAATTTACTCGATCTCGCACCTCCTTTCTCGAATTATCGCGTACAATTCGTTAGCAATACATTTCCTTCGCAAAAATTACTGTTATTAACTTCATGAATTATTTCAATTTATTTACATTACGTAAAATTTCACTCATTTAAATTAACGATATATATAATTCTAATAATTAAATAATAATTACTTCAATTTTAATTTGTCAGATTTATTGAAAGCTAAATTTTGCCATGATTAAAGTACACGTATTGATTATATTTCGTTCGTTGTTTAATTTGAAACGACGAAAAACATTGAAGATACGCTCGTAGTTTTCGACGCCGGTTGTCGATTCGCGTCAGCTCGGTTATAATCACAACCGATTGCCCCTTAGTGTCTCAAGAGAGACAACCGCGACGCGCGAAAAGAAGCGGGAGGGGGAGCAACGGTTGACAGGGGAAATTGAACGGGGAAAATCAATTATCGAAGGTTCGCGGCACCGCGATCGAGTCGTTTGTGTGCGTCGCACGTCTATGCTGAGTTCGTGTCTCGGAAACACTCTTTCTTGCCGGTCGTTCGATAAACAAAACGGAAAAGTAGGACAATTCCCAGCGAGTGATATCTGCGCGCTGAATAAATGGATCGTACGAGAATTAGTGTGGATGCCGGGCATGTGTGTGTGTGTGTGTGTGCACGTGTACAGAAAGGTAATTCTATTTATTATGCTTGTATTTTATTGCGCGATACTATCGACGACGTATTACATTAAGCTTCTTTTATCGGATTGAGTAAAAATATTGCGAAGAACAATTGATCAGATAAATTTCAATTCAATTAGGCCTGTATGTCTTCGAATGTTTTATGTTCTTGATTATCGGCGATCATCGATGATCGCAGAAGAGCGTGTATCGCTAAAGGCAAATCATATCGATTCCAGCAAGGCGATAAGAATCTGGAGAACGTGACACACGAGGAGGCAGTGGCAACCCTGAAGGCGACCCAAGATCGCGTCGTACTTCTCGTTGCCAAGCCGGAAAGTGGAATTATACCCCCGCCCCCTCCAGCAATAGCGACGGACAATTCTCTCTCGCCTCAGCCACGTAAGTCATCAGTTTTTTTTCAAACATTTCGTACGCATGTTATTGTTCAATAAAATTAAACCATCATGAAGAAGCGAATGAATGGCAGTAATTTTATGCGGAGAGAAAATTGATTAGTACTTCATTTAAAATTCAATTACAAACCACATTGAACAAATAAATGAAATATGGTGTTTTAATTTACATTTTCTCAAGATATTCCATTGATCTCTTATAATAATTTGTAAAAAACACGTTCGGGAGGAGCCCGAAATATAATATAAAGGACAATTTCGTCGAGTATTAATCACGCAATCGAATGAAATCACGGCCCGTGCTTTTACTTCGTTCATGATTTACGAAGACGACCGAAAATTCCAACCGTGATTTAATGTCGCTTCTCGATTATATTTTTCACCGCTGCTTTTTCATCACGATCTCAATTGAAATAATAATTAACGGCGTCGTGTTGATTATTCAGAGTCGCTTGCGCGACACGTCGAAATTCAATATTTCGAACCGCAAATATCTCCGCCGCGCGACTCCCAGCTAGCTGAAAATAAACTGCAGAACCTCCGACGTTTCAGTATTGGAGTAGCATAGAAATGAATTTTTGATCCACGAATGTTTCCGTCAGAGCCGGGTTTCACCGACGATCGACGGCGTAACTTATGCATCAGCCTCGTAAAACCGGACTAGTAAACTCGCCCCGAATGACGGGGGGGCGTCATTCCCCTCCCGTTCCCGTTTATCGTGCGCGCCACGAATGCGGCGCACCGCGCGTCGGGAAACGTCCGATCGAGGAAATCTCGAGAGTACGACGTTAAAATTCAATGCCGCGCGGGAGGAACGCTCGGACGATGGTCCGTTCTTGCGAATTAACGAGGCCGGTTCTCGATATCCGTGCGCGAAATTGGCGAACGAATATAGGGAGATCAATTATTACCGCCTCTCCTTCGTTGTTACGCGATAAGTAAAAAGATTGCTGCTTGAAATATTAAAAAGACCGAGTTTGTCGTTGTATCGCGACAATATCACCGTATTTATTTTTCCCGTGAATGGAAAAAAAAAAAGCGTAGCGACACAAGCGATATAGTCCATCCAATCCGTATCCTGCGGAAAAAGCGAACTCGATGGCGGATAGTTTGATGCCGACTGAATTCAAATTGCCCCTTTAATGCCGCGGCAGATCGCTGCCCCGCGGGATTATCCGAATATTTGCTTTAATCTCCAAGCGTAGTCCGGAACGCGGTGAGTTTCCCGGAGAAGTCGCCTCGGCGCGAATAAACAAGCTCGCTTTAGATTGAGATCGCTATTTTCTACCTCGGTTGTATTCTTTCCTTCGCACAATACACGCTGGAAGGTAAATAAAGTTAATGAAACAACAATGGAAACACATTAATATCATTATAATCCTGATATTGTTGTAATAAATTTCGCTGCGTCATGTTACAGTCATCACAATTGTTATTGTGACGATAAATAAAAGTATTAAAAAAACCCGACTCCTGATATTACACAAGTTGAATACACGCGTAAATACATATCGGACTCCGCTCGGTGCCGATCAAACTCGATATCGGCGAAATATCAACATTGTCAAGCTTGTTTACCTGCGATCTCGGTTCAACCTGTGTACTGTAATAATAAACGGCCCTTAATTTTCTGCGTCAACAGGTAAGCAGAACGGTTCCGTGTCGGCGCTGGAGAACAACACCGCGACGCTGTCATATTCACAGGAATCACGCCATGCGTCTTCCCTCGCTCTGCACGGCACCGGTACACCGCGGGCCGTTTCCCAGGAGGACGTCTCTCGGTGAGTTTTTCCCCTCTCTTTCTCTCTCTTGTTATTTTTTACACAGCGAGAACCGCGCGTGTTCGGTCAACTTCTGACGGTCCTTTTACAAAGATTGCTCGGTGTATCCGTTATCGCGCTGTGGTCTCTCGCCGAACATCGTAAAACAAAGCTCGCGCTCGCCGGTCACGTTCGATACTTTCAAAATGCATCGCCCCCGTTTCGCCCGTCCTCTCCCAACCCCGTCTCGGCCCGCTCGTTCGTACGTGATTTTATTTAACATCGCGTCACGCGTTACACGAACGGCTGGTTTTATACACTGCACCGCCCGATAATCTTCAGAAATGTAAATAGCACGCTGTGTCCCGGCGCTTTCAACGGCGATTCGGCGATAACCGCGTCGAGTTATTGAACGGAGTGTAATCGGGCACGATGTGTATTTCGTCGCGTTAATTTTAAAAGTGAAACGGATAAATTACATTGCGATGGACGTTTTGCGCGGGGATCGACGGATCCGGGCGCGAAAACCGATGGTGAATGAAGAGCCTGCGGTACGGCCGATGCGCACGAGCTAATTGCCGACGGATTAAAGGCTTATCGAATCGACCCCGACTGCGCCGTGGGGGTGGGATTGGTTCGAACATGTTATGTGCCTTCACCGGAGGCTTACGCGCGCCAGTCCGGCTCCTCCTATTGACCCGTCCGTTCGTTATTAACCTCTCCCGAATGCTGCCGCACCAACACTGCCCGGGATTGCTCAGGTTAAGGTCGTCGCCGGACATCGCGCGAGCAGAATAGAGGATTCGACGGAGCGACGACGAAGGCCTGTAATGCGGCGATGTCGAATTATCATCTAAAACGTTTCATCACACTCTGATGAATCTCGCTCGTTTTTCTCCCATTTTTTTCGCATCTCTATTTTGAATTGTTCGCTTTCGTTTGCTTCTATCGTTCGCAATTTACTCCTTTGTCGCGAAGATATAAAAAGATAGATTGCGCGCGATATGACATTGAAAATTGCGCAACGTAATTAAGTTAAATTTGAGGTTTCCGAACGTCGTGTATGTTTCGAGATGTTGCGGATTCCGGTTCTAAGCTCCGTAGCAAATCCAATTCAACCCCATCTAATCTAATCTAATTCTCTATTCGCCTCTCGAAGAACGCCATTGACGAGAGTGGAGTCTTCGTTTAACTAGACTTCGATCGAGAGAAAGGGATGAGATAGCGCGCGAGCAAGAACTAATTGCTACTCTTGAGTGCGTCGTCGGACTGCTGGAAGCCAGTCGTCGTTTCGACATTACCATGAATGGAATATTTCATCAAGCCAACCGTCCGCGGCGGAAGTTTGACGCGCCTGTGTACCGCCAGCCGCGGTACATTTATTCGTTTTTCGAACGCGCAGAAACCGCTCGCACAATTTTCTGATTACAATATTCATTGGAATTTCGGGGTTAGCGTTTTATATCCGCGCTTTCACGCTCGCCTTTTGCTTCATGATTCTGTAATCGCGATCACTTTCGGAGATCAAGGGAGGCTATTATTATTTACGCGTTTCGTTCATTTAATATTAACGAGAAATTTAGAGAGATCGAAAAGGTAACATCGAAATTACAGAATAAAAAATACAAAGGAAATACAATACGATGGAAACGCTTTTTCGCATCATAAAAGTTTGACCGTCGGTTAAAAATTATGGCAAAACGACGCGCTGTCATTTATTTGAACTTAATCAACATTCTGCTGGAAAAAAAATTCCGCTGTCTGAATATCGTGGCTGTCGAGGCATCGCGCTTCGCATTACGGAAAAACAATCGCGTTCGCACACTCCGAAGAGGAAAATATCGCGAAAGGAATAAAGTCGAGCGCGCTCGGCGAACTGTAATTTTTATCCTGTTTGATTGGAACAATTCCGAGCGTTGATTGGCAGACTCGTCTTTGTTTCCCGCGGCTTCGTTTGACGTACGCGTTGCGGTTCAAAAAGTTTCCCCCGGGTAAATTCCTTGTTTCGCTTTTTCATTCGCACGGTTCGCCGGGTATCGTCTCATCGATACCACGCCGACCGCATCGCGCGCGCTACAAAATACAGATGCATTTTTATTGCGCGGCGGCTGTTCTCCGCTCTCTCCCCCTCCCACTTTGTCGACGTCGCAACGCGTTCGCAATGTGCGTTTTAATTACTCGGGCGTGTCCAAAGATACCGCGCACCGAAGCCGATACTCATGATTACCGTAAACTTCAACGTAATTTCTCGACGGCCAAAGTTGGACCTCATTTAGCTCATATCTTTCGGTTTAATTGTATCAAGCGTTAATTTCCAAATCGTAACAATTCTCTCACAATTCGAAAATTTATTCGATATTTTACTGTGACATTTGCTTAGGAATTTATTTGATCCCATTAGACGCGTCAGTTATAATTTTCGAATGATGTCAATTACGCGCGATATTCCCCGGCGATGTAATCCGCAATCATGTATGCACGCGAGTGGACACATTCGGGTGCATACATGTAGCGGCCTGCGCGCAGCTGCATCACCGATATGTGGGCCAAGGTCGCAGTTGGCCCGGGTCACGAGCGAGCGAGCGAGCGAGCGAACGAGCGAGCTGCCGACCAATCTCGCTTACGTGATGCGGTCCTCTCCGCATCGATCCGAATGCGTCCTACTGCATCCTCGCCAGATACCGCTGAACTCTGGCCATTGTGACGGGACCAGGTGGACCGCGCGCTCTGTCTATCTTAATTATATCGGCGAACAAATTTAACGACGAAATGTGATACAAGTAAAAATACAAGGATTTGAATGATCCAATTAACGAAGTTCATTTCTCACAAGACAGCGAATAGAATTTTCTCATTCGAGTGTACAATAATTTCAAAAATTATATTTACATATTACTGAACCTTCTTATATCTGCGCGTCTCTGGCGGACTTCCCGAACTTGAAAGGAAGAAGGAGCCATTTTTCACTTTTCACACATTATCCTTTTCACTTTTCTTGCGACGCCGCTGAGTACACAGTGCATTAGCGACTTACCACGAGCGCTTTGCTTTCGGTAGCTTTGACGGTCGACAGAGAGAGAGAGAACCCCCTTCGTCCGGCTCATTGTACCGCGTCCTCCTATGACGGGGCAAATTTAATTTCTCCTGCGACTCTCATCCCGTCGGACGTCCTAACCGGAGATGTCCGGTTCGGGACGAGGGAACCCGCAGGAACCGCGGACTCCCACGGACAATAGAGCAGTCCGAGACCCGAAAGAGACGTCATGAAAAATTTACTCGACGATTTCACACCCAGCCGGAAATACTGATTATGCGAATGTGAAGGGTTCGCCAGTTGCGTTCTCTGAATACAAGAGTAGATGATTGCCATCGCATTAGTATTCGGAAAAAATTGTTCTTGAACTTTTTAACTCTTACGTTTTTGTACGCTTTTACGTTTCGAATTTCTGTGATTATTAATATATGATTTTATTATGCGCCTTTTTGTTGCAAACAGTTATTTAGCGATTCTCATCAATCTATTCGTTTTCAAGTTATTTTAGTTTCAACGTTTCATATTTCTTCTTGTTAACAATATCCATCTTCTTGTTTTTATTCGCGTCGTATTTTCCATTTTTTTTCTCTATATTTTTTTTGTGTTTCTATTTTGTTGATATTTTTCTCATCTTGCACTGGCAGTGTTCTGTAGGAAGTATTTCATTCTAGAACACATTATTTTATTCCGTTTTATTCAATATTATTTTATGTTTTATCAGACGGAGATTTATTTGTTAGATATTTTTCTCTGCTCTGCAACCAAAGATTATTTTATTGTAAAAAATTATATCACCGCGGAAATTTGTGAACAATACGATATAACCGTTTTAAACGCGGAGAACATTTTAACAAACTCTTCGATGAGCCTGGCAATACGCGACGGAAGCCGGAAGCACGTGCAGCGAGGATTAAGAATTCTCTGCCGCCGAACAATTTCCAGAAGCGCGGAAGCGGTGCTTTTGCATCGAAAAATAATGGATTTCCCGGCGCGAGATGATCCTGCATTATCTAGCGGGCTGACAGTACTAACCGGAAATTTTCCACGAGTTTCCCGGGAAAGCACCGCGAATTTTTCCCTTTCCTTCCTCAGACGCGACACCGGGAATCGTTGCATTGTTCGCGAGACTTCCTGGGCTTCCGTGAATTTTCGCACGCTGTACTTTTCACGGTGTAGTTACTCGTGTGCATTCCCGAAAACGGCGAATACTTTTTACTTCTAATCCGCAAAACTTTTTTTCGCTGGAGAATAGAGTTGAGAGATGTTACCTGTGTCCTTTTTTCTTACATTATTCTATCGTAGCTTTTAATCAAATGCCGATATTAAATCGTTTATTTTATAACTAAATTGCTTAACATTTATCTGTAAATTTTATTAATTATTTAAATACAATTCTATTTTTTCAACTATTATTTTATTGAAACATATGCCGCGATAAAAATGGTTTCTCGCATTAAAGTCGGTGCGATGCTGTTCCGTAATTAGATCAACGGTGAAATTTATTTAATCCTATCTTATGGTAGACCGTCTCTATTGTAACTAAAATAAATCCGTTGTATAGCACGCACGGTGTATGCGCCTTTGGACCGTGCCATCTGCGGCGAAATATGCGCTTGCTACCGCGCAATGGGTGCATTTGCACAGTTTGTTTAATTTACAGTCCGCGACCCAATTCCGGACCGTTCTGTATAATGTATCGTTTGTTGCGGCGCGATCTCTGGAGAGCTGTTGTCTAGGAAACGTAGAGCATTGTGAGGCGCGCTTAATACAAGTTGCGGAAATTTAAACGATAAACGTTTCTTGGAATTGGACCATTTAACTAAGAAGAAAACTATTCTCCCTTTTTTATTTAATCCATTGCGTTAAAGAATTGAACTGTTTATGCATTTCTATTTACAACTTTTCACGTTGGAGAGTAGTCTAAGTCGAGACACCGGAGTAGACGTATTAATTAGAGATGTTTACCTTTGCAGTCGCAAGATGTGTA